TAAATTGTTAAAGTTACTGAGCTCGAAAGATTTATTAACTGCAGTATCAAGAAAACATGGTGAGCAAGTTTCTTGCTTTGATGTTTTCAACATATTAGATGGGAGGATGAAGTCATTTATCAACTCCAGTTAAATAAAATGAGAACATGAGGAAAGTAAGAGCGAGGCTGTCTGCCAGGACTGCTTGAACAAAAACCTTTTGGGCATTGACTGTCACTGACAGTCTCCATTAAACACAGTTCTTTCCTTAAATACATGCAGGAGAGCACATAAGTGGTCCTACAGGTGCACATGTGCTGTCAAACTAAAAGACCAGATAAGAAGTGGCAACGCGCGTTTGCGTACATAAGATTTTCTGGAGGAGGACAGACATTTGTTTAGAACTCTTAAAAATGTCAAAGAAGCTCCTTTAAATGGACTGATTCTTATAGAGCGCTTTTCTACTCTCTCGGAGTACTTAAAGCGCTCTATACAACATGCCACATTCACCCAATCACACCCATTCTCACAAGCACTTCATCTATACTGAGTGCTTTCTAACTACATTCACACTCCGATGGATGCATTGGAGAGCAACTTGGGGTTAGTATCTTGCCCGAGGATACTTGACATGCAGACTGGGGGAGCCTGGAATCAAACCTCCAACCTTCCGATCAGTAGGTGACCTGCTCTATCTGCTGAGCTACAGCCACCGAAGAAATTACTTTGGTGTTCCTCCACTTCCAAAGAAATGTCAGCAGGAGTACGAACAGCAAAAGAAGTGCGTATTCTCAGAAAAGTGGTTGCAGGAGGTGAGCTGGGTTCAAAGAAATGATGAACGCACAGAGATGTGGTGCAGAATATGCTGTGAAAATCATTTGAAGCCAGCTCACCTTATCTTGCGTACATAAGATAAAATCTTATGTAAGCAAACGTGCGTTGCAACTTCTTATCTGGCGCGCATCCTTTATTTTAACAGTGCATGCGCACCTGCGGACCACTTATGTGCATCCCTGAATATATGTACACTAACACAATCATTCATTACCTAGGGTTACCTCTTAAAGTCTTCAAACACAGGAAGAGACACCCAAGCACAAAGAAAAAGCTCAGAGAGTGGAGACTTCACACAAAGGAAGCATCGGTGATCATCGGAGACTCCAATGTGGGCATGATCCCTCTCTATGTAGCGGAGGGAGTACAAATTGACAGCTTCCCAGGAGCTAGATGGGGCCATGCAGAGATCCATCTAGATAAAGCAGACTATGACACCGGTGGAGAAGCTGGTTCTATCCTTTGGCCTGAATAACAGGCGTCAGAGGGATAAAAATGCACCAATAACGGAGCTGAGAAGGGCGCTGAGGTCAGCACAAGAAAAATTCCCACAAGCTGACATTTATATCCCAGTGATTAACTTCTCGTCTGCTCTTCCCAAAACAGAACAAGACACATTATTGCACATAAACAATTTCATTACAGGTCTAAAGGAGCACATTGCTGCACTACCTGCTGATAAGTTCAGCACGGAATCAGACAATCTCCGCTGGACTGACAAGACTGCAGAACACATGTTGGATCATTGGAATAATCATGTTAATGGGGCATCTCCATGAAACCAATCGGAGTGACTGATTTTATGTATTTCTGTGCTTGAGGGAGGCTTCAGATGCCATTATGTGAGAGCTTAACCCCAATACAACCCACTAGAGGGTGCTGTAACTCCAATTAAGGGAATTTTCCCCTTCTCTTTACTTTTTTCCTTTTTCCTTCACTTTTTACTTGTATAGGCCCTTTTATGGCCATCCCATTATAAACTCCTGGCCCTGAGGCCTTCCCTAACCTTAACCTCTTTTAACCCCATGCAGGGACTTCATTCCGGCCCTAAACCTAACCGCCTGGAGCCCCAACCGGACATTGGGCCCTAATTTCAATCCCCATCTTCTTCCAGTCCTAAACCTAACCTCTGGGTTCCCTAAGCCCAGCTTCAACCCCCTTATTCGTGACAAGAGAGGACACTTCCCTCCTGGAGAGCAATCCATGAGTGACGTGGGGGCCCGGGATGGGAACAGGTATGGACTGTGCATGGAGTTTGGCCAACCTCCCAACTTGAGCTCCCCCTAACCCGCCTTTCAAGTCACCCAAGGACACTTTACAATAGGATAAATTACTTAGTAAAACAATGGAAGAATAAGAACAATAAAACAAAAGCACAAGGTAAAATGAACAAACAGTGGATTCACAGTGAATATGCAGATTTGAACAGATGAGTTTTGAGTTGGGATTTAAACAGGGGGAGAACCAATGTTTCTTATTTCTGGGAGCAGAGTAGCTGAAAGCTCTAACCCACTTATTGGGACAATTTATGTTATTATGAGGACTTTTTATGGACAAGTATGATGGGCTCAACATAAAAGAAACTTTTTTGAGCAAGGCCATGTCATGGCAAACTGTTCTATGGGTTATACTCATGACATGATAAGTATGTTTATATGTTTTACAGACTTTGAACGGCCATTTTGCCTCACTACTGTTCATTGGTACGGTCTTATAATGTGGAGATTGATAATTTGTTTTCCAACGGTTCCTGAAAGCAACATGCCTGTGTGCGACCAATCAGAACGGTGTTTTATAAGGACCTTTGACCCTAAGGATGAGACTCTTTGTTATTGGTTATTGTAGCTGGGAACTCTAAGCATTATGGGAAATGTGGTCTGATTCACACAACACTGCATGGACTTTCTGTTGAGCACACACCTGCTTCGGAAAAAAAATATTGTAACTGAAATAAATGAACTGAAAAAACTTGTATTGAAACAAGTAACGCATTACTGCCCATCTCTGGTGCACAGTGACACAAAACTCATTCAACAACGCAAACTATTTAAAAAATGATGTAGGCAGATCAATGCAATGTTACAGATTCAGTAAGAACGGAAGTTTATCGTAATCCTTCAAATATGCAGGGCATCACACTAACACAGTTGTTTATGTCCAGCATCGCTCTGTTATTATCAATTTGATTCGAAACGTGTCCAGTTTAATGTCTTAAACTAAACTGGCATTAAAGTTTCAATGAACTAAGGTGGTCCCTCTGAGTCAGCACCCAGAAAACTCGTCTCTTTTAAAAATGTGGCCATAAATACAAGCGCTGCTGGGATCTTACAACACTGGGGCTAAATCCAGACCTGAAATCTTTGTTTCACTCAGTAACAGCACCTTTTTAATATTATTGACTATTGACTATAATTTATTCGTAAATCAGGGTGGAAAATAAGTATTAATTCTTTACAAATCCTACCATGTGAATTCATGGATTTTTTTTTCACATTCTGTCTCTCACAGTTGAAGTGTACCTCTGGTGCAAATTACTGACCTCTGTCATCATTTTAAGTGGGGGAACTTGCACAATCGGTGGCTGACTAAATACTTTTTTGCCCCACTGTACACAGTATCTAGACTTGTTTTGCTCGAAACTGCAAAGTTGTTTTACCTGCATACGGGACAGTTTAGTTCCACAAATAAGTGAAGTGCAGTAAGTGAAATAACAGGAAGCATCTGGCGGTGGCAGAGGAACAGAGGAAGGAACTGTTCTTTTTTGAATGTGTCCAAGCTTGGGATTAGGGTTGGGCCTACCCAATCCCAGCGTGCAGCCTTGTGGGGGTTTGAACAGCCGGTTCCGCTTCCTTAATTCTTCGATAAGCTAGGGCCAAGCCTGCTCCGATCAGCCAGAACCCTGTTACCATGGTTCCGAATAGGTAGATATCTTCAGCACTCAGGCTCGCCCAAGCTCAGACTTCTCGTTGAGAAAGGGGTGTCAATTGCATTCAGGGACCAGTTGATCCAATCCATAATTCCTCTTTTAGGTTTTAGAGAACAGACTGTGAAAGAGTGTTCCAGGGAAAAGTACCGTATTTTCACGACCATAAGGCGCACTTAAAAGTCTTAGATTTTCTTCAAAAAGTGCGGCGCGCCCTATGTGTTGTAAGGAGGACGTAGTAGAGAACACCATGAGAACGTTAAAGGGTGAAGTGTGGGCGTTGATCGTATATACCGGGACAATCGCACATAACTGTATAAAAGAACAGGTATGTGCATTATGCAGGACATCGTTGTTTTAACAACCCTGAAAATGGCAAAGAGACACGCTTACGAAGCACAGTTTAAACTGAAGGCCATCAGCTACGCGGAGGAACATGGAAATCGAGCAGCGGCGAGAGAATTTAAGATTAACGAATCGATGGTTCGCAAATGGAGGAAGCTGGAAAACAAGCTCCGGCAGGTCAAGAAAACGCAGCTGAGTTTCCGCGGACATAAGGCGAGGTGGCTCGAGTTGGAGGAAAGACTCGAGCGGTGGATCATCGAGCAAACATAATCTGTGTATAACGGTTAATACTAAATATTAAACATTATTGTGCAGCACGTAGGATCGACAGCGCACAGTGTGCTTTGAGGTAGGAGCCAAAAAGGGTGTAGTTTGTGGGTGTGATCACCCGTGTGTACACCTGTGAGCATTAGCGCACTTGATTTTAAAAGGATCCTTCAGGTAACGATCTGCTAGAGGGTGTGGGGGGGCCACAGCCCCGTCCCCCAGGGCATTAAGCAGGTATGGAGGAGATCCAAACATCCAGAGGCTCTCAGAACACAAGAGACCACGGAAGACCAAGACTGCTCTTTCTATATAGCAATACTGTGAACATGTCTGTCAAAATTAGATTTGTATCGTTGAAGGAATTACACATTTTTCACAAAATGAAACCAGATCAATAAAGTGGAAGAAATGTCAGTGAATAAAGCAAAGAGACGGGTTTCATTAAAGTCCGGTTTATGTCTTTATTGATGTTCAGGGTAAAATAACAAACAAACAAAGCAATTGTTTGTTTAAAGTTATGCACAGGAAACATAACATCAGTATTTCTCAGAAAGTATTTCCAGCAGAAACAATAACAGATTATTAAATGCCTAAAATCTTGCACTACACCCTTACAGTTTAGTAAGGATTTTAAAAATATTTGGTGGAGAGGTTCAGTCTGATTTGACCAGTTATCCAACTCATATATTCCGTCTATGTGACCATGTTGTGCCTGCTTTAGCTGATCTTTAATGATTCAATGTCAAAGCTAATTTTTAAAGTACTAAAGGTTTTAACTCCAGAGGATTTTAGCTTATTCAAGTAACTTTAGGGTTAACCTGAGTTTTCTGTACTGTGAAGCTGGTTCACAATTTCAAACAGCTGCAGCCTTAATCGGATGTCCTTTTTACAACAGTGTTGTGTTTTACTGGCATATCTTTGCTCTAGATTTTATAAGGATCATTTTCTGTAGAAGAAAGGGAAGCCCTGGGGCCCTTAACCATCTGATATCCTGATCATCAGCCTTAGGGTGAGTAAATCCAGATAATATTAATGAAGGGTGATCATGCCATTTTGCTAGATCTGCCCTAAAAACAATAAGACCTCTCATTTAAGCCTCTCATTTTAATGATTTGTTCCCTGTTGTGTACATCAACTTTCAGTGTTGCAACACTGGAGTTTGTCATGCCCGATGTAACGACAACATCATCATCTCTGTGTTTCAGATCATGACCATCAGCTTTTCCTCTGACAAACCCTCTCTCATCACTGTAATACATCTTGTGATAAAGATCATTATCACAGTTTGTTTCCCTGTCAAAGGCTCCGACTGCAAACCAGTTAGAGTACCGGCCATAGTCAAAAGGAACAGAGAACATGATGGCAATTTTCTTATCAGCTCTGTCTGTAGCTGGATTGTAGAGATCGTAGGTGAAGACTCCAACAGATCCACACGCTGTGCCACCAATCTTAGAGAACAGAGCATTGCCAGATTCAGAAGGCTTGAGTTTTGTTGGCAAAGGAATCTGGCAAAGTCCGCTAACAAGATGTAGACTAGTCAGAAAAAAGAAAACATGAATTAATATTTTTATTCAAAGAGGATCCATACTCCTCATCATGAGTCAGGTGGATCAATGTCTTTAGAGTAAGAAACATGGACAGGGGTATTACTGTAACATGCATATGTGTTAAATATGTGTCTTTGTTACAGCTTCCCGTGTGGTCACTGCACACAAACACAGGTGTGATGCTGCTAAGCCAATTCTGTTTCATTTTATGTACATTTCTTTTGTTTTTAATTCATCAGCTTTTGAGTTCAGCAGCACTCACCAGTATGAAAGGTCAATATGGATGAGTTTGTTAAATAAAACCAAAAGAATATGCTTTAAGATTCATGCAGTATAGATCTTTAATGTGTGGAAACTTACTGTAGGGTTACATATAAATCCCGCCCACTTTAGAAATCACCACAGCAAACACAGAAGAACAAAGGTGTAGTCACCTGGGGTTACAAAGGGTGTAGCCGTGGGTCTTGTTTGTAATATGAATGGTGGACTGCCGAGCACCCATGGTGTCTGTAAAGTGAAGGACAAAACGAGAGTGAAGAACATGTCATCTGTCTGTGGAAGCATCTCTGTTTGAACATCAGTGAACACATAGCTGAAGACTCCAGTAGACATGATACAAATGCCATCATAGTGTCCACTGATCATGTTACAGTCCCCGTGCTCAATCCTGTCAGACACTTCCAGGAAGACAGACTTTATTTAAAAATTTTCCTTCAAAGGGCTCTGCAGCTTTTTCCGCCCCTTAAACTTCCCTTTCTAATTCCATGCCTTTAATCTTTTAAAAACACATTTTTAAAATGGATGCTCAGTGTGTTTGAGCATCTGTGACATTACTCATATTTCCACAGTGAGTGCTCCAAACACACAGAGCAGAGAAACAATGAAAAAAAGATTCTAAAAAAAGTAGAGGGTTAGAGAAAGAAGCATTTACATGTAAGGTTAACTAATAAACATTAACTTTTCTCATTTGCTGTCAAATAAACAAAGTCATACTCACAGTGATGAGATGAATTCAAGTGAAAGCAATCAGCAGTGTTTTTGTGAGCAGTCCTCACAGTCTGACTGACACCAAATAATCCTCTGTGTATACCCTAAAAGTGAAAATAGAATGTTTGTTCATTAACTGAAGGATATTTGATGAGATCAGAAGACACTGATCGGAACTCAGCTCTGACATTGTTTGTTTTCTTTGGAATATGAACAATGCAAACATTCAACGCCAGGGAGTTTCCCTGTTTGCCATCTAGATCCTGTTAAACTTCCTACATTCAGCACAGCCAGTCAGCTATATATCCGGGGTATTTTTCCAGTAACCGTATTTTCTTACCAAAGCACCAGTGATGACAATAAACTGTCACCGAAGATAGCTTTCAACCCATTAAGTTAATCCAGGGTTTCACCTGCGTGTCCACATGAAAGAAGTGTTTCATAAATAATCTGGAGTAGTGCCACCTGCTCCAGATACCATGCAACAATCAATTCTTTGGTTTATCTGGTGTTTCAGTTTTATTCAGTTTTTCAGTTTTATACAGCGCCGAACAACAACAACAGTCGCCTCAAGACACTTTATCTTGTAAGGTAGATCCTACAGTAATACATTCTGTTAGGATGCCTGGGTCGTCGACCCAGGGTATTTGAGTTTATTATATTATTTATACTTTCTAGTCTTTGGTTTCTTTGAGTTCTGTCTTATGGTTTATGTCTCTGTCTTCTTTAGTTGCTGTCTCCCCTATCACCTGCATCCCCTTGTCCAGTTCGCGTCTCTGTGTATCCTTAGTTCCTATATCCCCGTGTTCAGTCAGTGTTTGTGTCTGCCCTGCTCCCACGTCTCTGTTCCCTTTGTAGTGCCTGCATGTGAGTCTGTGTCTTTGTTCAGTCTGTGTTATGTGTTTCCTGTTTTACTTTGAAGGTCTCTGTCTTTTCTCAGTGTGTTCAGTTTACGCTTCTTTGGTCTCGTCAGTTCTGATTTGTCCCAGCTGTGTTTCCCTCCTGTTACTCATTCCCTGATTGCTCCCTCTGTGTATTTAAGCCCTGTGTTTCTCTGTGTCCGTGTCGCGATCTACCGTTTATTTTGCTGTGTGTTTTACCTGTCCACCGGTGTTAGTTTATTTTTGACATTTTCCAGTTATGTCATGTTTGCGTTCAGCATTAAAGCTGTTTTTGTTTAAGTTCTGTCTCCGGAGTCTGCACCTTGGGTCCTATCCCTGTCTGCACACAGCCACACCTAACGCATTCAGAGAAAAACCCAGCAATCAGACAGCCTCTTATGCAGTGGTAGTCAAGTTATATGAAAAAGTAATTAGTTACTAATTACTGATTACCTCTCCAATAAAGTAAACCTATTACATCACTCGTTACTTGAAAAGGATCTCTGCTCTTATGAGCAAGTGATTTCACGACAGTGGGAAGGACAAACTCCCATTTAAGAGGAAGAAATCTTGATCTGAAACAGGGAGGGGCAGCCATCTGCCATGATGATTTGGGAGTGAAGAAATGACGATATGAACACAGAACAAAAGGCATAAACACATAGTAAATGAAGAAGAAACAATACACACAAGATATCACAAGATTTCTGGAAATAAAAAAAATCTGACATTTTTAATGAATCCTGACCATTGTACAGACTTTACTGACAGAGCCTTGGTTTTATAATTTAATGTTAGTCTGACTGCAGCTTCTGGTCCTGTATCAGTGTGTTTAACTTCAGGCTGGTTCAGACTACAGTTCAGTTGTTAACATGAAACCTTGTTTTATCTGCCAGTGTCAACAGACATCTAATACATCTAATACCGACACACCCAGACTGTTGACTGTTTTTGGAACAAAACTGTTTGTAGTCACAGCGAGTTTCTCGGTTTCCAGCCTATAGATCCAGTCACACTTTCTACCTTTTACCTGTGCAGTAAAGACTGAGAGCAGAGCTGAAACCAACCGTCCAATCAGTGAGCAGCATCAACACCTGAGCTTCATTCAGACTCTGTTATTGAAGATGTTGTTGTGTGAATGAAATGATGTAAATATCCAAACATGGAGGATGATTTTCTACCATGACGCATGTTTTTCAATTTAAATGGAGGCTGGAGGTGGCGAGCAGCTTCCCGGAAACAAGCCGGCTCCTGTATACGACTCACGCCGCCGTCAGACATCAGCAACATCGGGTTTCCTGTCTGACAGCAGTTTAGTAGCTGAGGAAGGCCGAGTTCACGCTCACCTGGTGCTCCTCTAAGAGAGTCCCCAGTTCGAGGACTCCTGGGAGCACTGGTTTGATAACAGGCTCTTCTACAGCAGGACCACCTCCAGGAGACTTCCTCTGTGACTGGAACTGTTGAACATCGTTATTCAAATGTCTCACTGCCATCAAATTTCAAACGTGTGTTTAAGCATGGCTGGGATTCGCTGAGAATGGCTGGACTGCAACAAGGCATGGATTGGACGGATTGGGAACGAAAAAAGAGGGAGAGATATTGGATTTATACATTGGGAACCAAAGAACCATTGGGACTTAACGTAAAATGGAATTAGACTACTATTGGAGAAGGTGTTGGTTAATTTACAACCCTTAATCCCACCCTAACCTTAACCTCCTCAACCCCATTTGTGTCAATATGTTAATCTAAACCCAGTTTAATTCTGACCCCAACCCCCTTTTTTTCACCCCAATGTTTCGCAACACCCAAATCAAATCAAATCAAATCACTTTTATTGTCACATCACATGTGCAGGCACACTGGCACAGCACATGCGAGTGAAATTCTTGTGTGCGAGCCTCACAAGCAACAGAGATGTGCGAAACACAACAACACAAACGAGCAAAATACAAGAATGGCCAACCTGAAACGAATAAATATATGTACAATATATAATAGTATATGCATATACGTGTGTGTGTGTGTGTGTGTGTGTGTGTGTGTGTGTGTATACACACATTTTTACAAATTAAATAGTAAAAAAATAATAAAATAAAATATAAAAATATACAGAGTTGAATATGTGCAAAACAGTGGCATTTATATACAGTGTGTAGTGCATAATGTTGAAGTTCCAGTAGTGAAGCTGAGGTGTCTATGACGTGTTCAGCAGTCTG